GATAAAACAAATTTATCTAAAAACATTTGTTTTAAAAAAAAGATTTAATAATCATAGAGTTTATAATCATTTAGAAAAACATTTTTTATGAAACTATGATGATAAAAAACATTATTGATATATAAAACAGATGTCTCTAACACTTGTTTTATAAATTTCAAATTAAAGTTATTTAACAGATATCAATAGTTAAAATTTTGTATTGCTAATAAAAAAATATTACTTGTGGCTATATTATGTATAATATCTAATGTATATATTATAGTTATGTATCTAACAGACATCAAAGTACAAATCTTACAATAGAAGTCCAAAGTACAAACAAGTTATATTTGTCCTATATCACTGGTAAAAGATATAATTTTTCGCTATTTTATGAATAGCAATATCTAACAGACATCAAAAGTACAAATATTATAACGTTTTGTACTTTTGAAGTACAACATAAGTTGTATCTCAGGCATCAGTTTTATAAATCAAATGTTCACAAACCATATTTTTATCAATCGTTTGAAATTTGAAAATGAGCTGTACTTTCAGCTTCCATTTTATATTGCAAACTCCTTCATCAGAAAATTATAGGTAGAAAAAGACTTGCTGCCAAAAAAATTATTATTCAAGACTCAGCAATTCTGATATGAATCGTCCTTGTACCCACAAAACGATAACTTTTCGGCACACTAATTTGTAAGTAATTATGTTTATAAATGTAAAAATTTAAACTGTAAAGACTGTATTTATCTTTGATCTAGATCTAAACTAGGCTTTGATCTAGATCTAGAAAAAGTGAAGCAAAAGAGACCCAGATCAAAACTTTACAAGAAGGTTGTGCCAGAGGTTATAGCATTTATTCAAATTTAAGAACTTCTTTAAAGTAGGTTCTCAGAGGATGCCAATTGAAAAGCATTTTTCTAAAAAGAATCCATTTTTTCAAAATTTTGTTTTTTCAAATTCAAGTTTTTTATTGAAAAAGGTACAAACCTTACTACTTTAGAATAAATAAAAAATTTATTTTTTGCAAATACAGTAGTAAATGGAGCTGCTTGTACAGTAGCTTTTATAAATTTAGACGCATTCATTTTTTTTTTCATATATGTAAGAAAATACTCAAAATAAAAATAAAATAAAAGTGCTACCGCTATGTTTGATATATAATTTAAAAGAGGAAATGAAACTCTATTAAAGAGTACCATAATTTTTTTTAAAGGATGTTTATTACTCATTCTATACCGATTAACACAAAAAAGTTAATTGATAAACTTGATTTTATTTTGTTCATAAATTTAGACGCACAATTAAAAAAGTCTTATATATTGTTAATTGATAGTTAATTAGTAGTTTTTTTCTCATATTTCTCATTAATAGGCCTAAATTAATTGATTTTGTCAAAAAACCTTATATAAATATGACTTACCTGGGATTAGTTAATCATTATTTAATAAATAAACAAAAGTTAAGTTAGTTTTGCACTAAAAAGACGCGAAAAATGGGCAAAAGACGTATCACTCAAGGTGAAAGATGGCAAATTATTGCGCACATCAAAGAAGGAACCAAAAGTAATAGAGAAATCGCCAAGTTAATTGGAGTTTCTGAGAAATGCGTTCGGACAACGAAACAAAACTTTCTTCACACTGGTGGTGCCAGCGAGAAAACGACGCCAGGTAGACCCTTGTCAACCACGAGAAAGGACGATAGTGTTCTTTTTAGAGCTGTCAGAGCTAATCCAAGAATTAGTTACAAAGAATTGACCACAGAATTCAATACAACGCGAAATACATCTATTTCTCAAAGCACAGTCCTCCGAATACTTATCAAATACAAGATTGGAGTCTACACTGCTTTGAAGAAACCGCTTCTGCGTCCATATGATAAACAAAGGAGACTAAAATGGTGTCGTGAAAGAAGGTATTGGACAATAGATCAATGGGAAAACATTATGTGGAGTGATGAGAGTAACTTTGAGCTTATCAATCGCAAATCTAACATAACATCAAAAAATGGCTCACGAAAAGTATTACGCCAGGTACATTAGACCAACTGTACAAAGTGGAGGAGGCTCGATAGGAATCTGGTCATGCTTCAATTACAAAGGTATTGGTATGTGCCAAACATACACCGGAAGAATCAACTCCAGAATATACGTAGAAGTACTGGAAAACAACCTAATTCCATCAATTGACCTGCTTATGCTCAATGATAAACCATGGAAACTTCAACAAGATAGCGTTACTGCACATACTGCATACTATACAAAGGAGTGGTTCAACGATAATAATATTATGACAATACCGTGGCCTCCATATTCACCTGATTTGAACCCGATTGAAAACATTTGGGCTTGGATTGATCGTGAATTAGCAAAGGTTCAAATTTCCACACTTGGTCAGCTGAAGGAATTCCTTAAGGAGACCTGGTATGGGGTCCCAGAAGCGATGTGCAAAAATCTTGTTCAGTCTATCCCTAGAAGAGTTCTTAGTTGTATTAAAGCAAAAGGCGGATACACAAAATATTGATTGGTTCATAAATTACGCCTTCTAATGTATCGTGCGTCTAAGTTTATGAATAATTTTTTTTGTCTAATTTTTTTAATACCATGTAGTTGTACCTAATTATTACTTAGTATTTCATTTTTTTTGTAAACTTTTTTTAAATTTTGTATTTTGTATGTATTTATCTGATAAATAGAAAAAAAACTAAACCGAAATCTTTTTTCGTCATTGTTTTATCGTTAAAATACCTAAAATTTTCTATTCTCAAATATGAGTGCGTCTAAATTTATGAAAACCACTGTATTAATTTTAGGTTTTGATATTTATCTTGAAAAGAAAAGATCTTTTAACTGTGGTTTAAAAATTTTTGAAGAAATTTTGAAACCTAGTCAAGATAGTAAAACGCAAAATCAAAAAAGGTAAACAGAGAAATTTTTTACAGCATTTTTGTGATGTTGGGAATACTAATCGTTATTGTTATACAAAATATTGAGGAATTTTCGAAACTTAAAAAAAAAGATCATTTAATTTTGGGAATTTTAAACCCATTTGTAATTCTGTGCTATATGCCGTATAGCTATTCGGCTGGCTTATACCCTTTTAAATTAGAAAGTGGGTTTCATGATAAAATAAAAGGAAAAATTTTGTGAATGAGAGTTTATTAGCATGCAGCTGAGGATTAATGTCTTTGCAACCAGCAATAACTTATTAATGGTTTACTCAAGTTGATGTAGTTTATTTATTGAGAGTATAATTGATATGAAACTTTGTATGGTCAATAGTGATGAAAGTGGATTAAAATTTTCTCAAGCTAAAGTCAACATTGTTTGTCAAAAAGGTTTTCAAAAAATCCAAAGCAACTATTATCATCAAAATGACTACACTTTTTAACTTATTGCTGTACTTTTAGAAATAACTTGCCACATCAATTCATTTGCAAAGGTTGAAGCTTAAAAAAGGTTGTAAGCATTTCTTATGTTTATTGTTCTGCTACTTGGTGTAGTTTGTTATCGTAGTCGTTGTAGTAGTCTGCAATTTTAAAATATTATAGCATCTGCATGATATTTTGTTGACTACCACATATTTCCATTAAATGATCAAGTCTGTGAATTATGAAAAGATAAAAAAAAATTTAAATGATAAATTTTGTGGTTTCATAAAATATAAATGTTTATAGCGAAAAAATCCAGACTGAAGATTCTTTTTTTTAAAAAAAAATCTTTAAATCACAATCACTTGTCCAAATTTTAATAAGACTTTAAATAAATAGGTTTTTCAGGTGAAATGAATGTGGTGAAAGCTCTTTCTTGGTCGGAAGTTTAGTTTGTATATAGTTAATATACATCAGAACGAATTAGAACTAGGATCAATAGTAAATTTAGGAATTTTTTCAAAAGATTTTGACTAAATTCACGCCGATGAGTGGAAATGATCTAAAGACTCCAAAATGGTGTCCTTTAGATTCACTATTACAGGTGGTAAAAAGAATTTAAAAATTATATTAAAAAAAAAGAAAAGTTTCTTTAAATATTAAAAAAACCTGAAGCAAAAAAAGTTATACCATTTAAAGCTCTTGTTTGGACATAATACACTGATAAAAGCATGCTAATTCCAAATAAAAGAATTCAATTAATTTGTGAATTGCATTAACTACACCGAGTACCAAATAAAGTTGTATGTAAATTGAAAATTTTATAAAATAGTTTTTTTCAATTTTTTTTGTATAACACAAAGATATTAAAATAAAAAAAAAATTCTTAAGAAACAAGTGTAATAAAAGGGTAGAGAAAAATTTTTTTTTGAGTAAAAAGAGTAGAGAAAATTTTTTTTAAATTTAACCAAATAAAGAAATACAAAAAAAACAAAACAACAAATGTCTACTTGTCAAAATGTCAATGTTATTGGCTGTAATCCCTAACACATAAATTGTCATTTATTTTTATTTATTTAAAACTTTATTTATAGTTGATTGCATACAGTAGTTTATAAATAAACTAATTAAAATCAGCACAATAAACTGTATAAACAATACAAACAAACACATATGTCTTGAAAACTGACATAATAAATCTGTAACAACTAGCAAAACAATGTATTTAAATAAAATATTGTGCAAAAAAGTTTTAAAAAAACAACCAGGTTTGCTAGACAACAAAATGTTAGGGTTGTCTTTTTTCTCTTGTTTTCTCTTGCATTTTTCATGGTCTCGGTTTAAACTTTTTTTAAACTAATGACAACAATGTGTATATCTAAATAAAATAAAACAAATTTTCTTATGCGACGATATGCAACAACATTGCTGATGGCAAACAAATTTTTTCGCAGTTGGAAAAAAATTTTGAAAAAAGTGAGAGAAAAAAATTAGAATAAAGAAAAATTGTTAAATAAAAAGTAAATCAAAGTTAAAACAAGAAAAAAAAGAAATTAATAATAATATAAATATTACTACACCTTTTAAATTTATATTATATCAATTTTATATCAATTTACTCCTTTTAAATTTTTTCATAGCATTGATCATAGTCAGGTGTCTAACAATATTGACAAGACAGCTAATGAGGGTGATAATGATGAAAATGCTTATTGTTCTGCTAGTGATGAAGATTACATAACAGGATCTGATGACGAAGAGCAAGAAGATGTGCGTGATTACTGCAAGGGTAAAAAAAAACTTTATTTTGTAAAGTATGTTTTTTTATTTCAGAAGGCAATCTGGAAATTAAATATCCTGGATAATAAAAAAGGCTTGGTGAGAGCTTGATGTTTTGGAAATAAAAAGATACCCGTAATAGTAATTGGCATTTGTCTAATGTGTATTTGATGAAAATATCTGACTAAAATTTATCTAAGATATTTTTAGATGTAACTTTATTAAAATAGCAAATATAAACCAAAGCCAAAAAATTTATTTTATGTTTTACCCAAAATAAGTTAATTTTAAAATTTTGAACAACTCATTGAGTTATTTAATTTTTCTTTAATGAGGACTAAAAATGCATCTTTATATGTTTTGAAAAGAAATATTGTAAGTGTACTGCAATCTTATATTAACTTTAAAATTTCCAAAAATGATTAACATAGAGTGTATTGTTTTAAGTAACTTATATTAGATTTATAAATATATCAAGAAATGGAAATTATCTTAACTGTAACTTACTTTTATTTGCAGTGTGAATACTTAAAATGTTTAAGTTGAGTTGAATATTGCAATTACATAGCTGTTACACTGTGATGACAAACTGCATGATAATAATTTGCAAAAAATCCATTATGTTCAAGTATTAAAAAAAATGCAGTTAGCAGTTTATAACATGCATCAAAGATGTTCCAGATATTTAGCACCTGAACTCTTTTTAACTTATAAAAGATTGTTGAAAATTTGTAACAAATCATTAAGTAATCAGGCTGCCTGCCTAAACTTTTAGTTGTTGTATGTACATTCACTGTGACTATCCCAACAAAAATCAGTTGATGTATGCGCACTCCACTGTGTCTATTCGCTGAAATCAGTAAATATTTACACTCATTCTAGAAATGAAAAATTATGATTTTTCATTTCTAGAATGAGTTTTTTTTTTCCATTTCAATTGCCAGCTCAATCAAAAATCATTAGTTTTAAAATCTAGCTGCAATATTTTGCTAACATTTTAATTTATTTTAGGTCTGACTTTTCACTTTGTGCAATCTAATGTCTTTTTATGCTTTTTTTCTACAAGTTGAGTTTTGAGTCAAAATTTTTTTGTTTATGCTGTCTTCAGTTGCTCACTTTATTCCACCTAACTTATTTTTTTAAAGATATTATTATCTAAAACATTCTAATATTTAACCTGTTTCAAAGTCGGATTTATGGCTAAGGCTGTATAAATACTAATGCATATTAATATGACGTATAAAAATAAGTCAATATGCACCAATATTTATGGAGCCCTTTCCATAGAACTGGCCTTGGCTATGGTCAAATACCAATCCCGGTCATTTACTACTTTCAATATCAATAATGTCCAGTATATTTTAAAAACGAAAACAATAAAAAATAATAGTGTTATTTTGTAGCCTTAATGTAACATCAGTTTTATAAATGTAACAACATTAAGTAGTTTTGTATTTATTTTTTAGGAGGTTATCATGTTGTCAACATTGGAGATCTATTTCACGGAAGATATCATGTGATAAGAAAACTTGGCTGGGGACATTTTTCAACTGTATGGCTAGCATGGGATCTTCTGTAAATAATGATTTTAATGTGATATTTTATATAGTGTTTTATATAGTATGTATATATATATATATATATATATATATATATATATATATATATATATATATATATATATATATGTATATATATATATATATATATATATATTTATTTATTTATTTTTATTTTGTTATTCACCTCCTCAAGGCCGAGAAGGCCGCTACAGACGAGGAAGCTACTTAATAGTGGTTATAACCTCTCTCAACTCTATAACTCCGAAGCACAAACCTTAACGAACAAGGCCGCTGCTCGGAGAAACAAGTTGAGTGCGGTACTACCAGGGACGTGGTGGGGATCGAACTCGGAACCTCTCGCTTATGAAGCGTTGTGTTTTACCACTACGCCACTGCTGCATATATATATATAAATAGATAAATAAATATATATATGCATATATATATATATATATATATATATATATATATATATATATATATATATATATATGCATATATATATATATACGCATATATATATATATACATATATACCGCATATATGTATGTATATATATATATATATATATATATATATATATATATATATATATATATATATATATATATATATATATATATATATATATATATATATATATTAGGGCAGACCACTGTCCCACATAAATTTTTCAAACAATCAATTTTACTAGTGGCTGCATAAAATATTGTTCCTTTTAATATAAAAATCATTTTTTGTTAAGTGTTTATGTAGCTAATTTCTATGTTCTGCCGAATTTCATTTTTAGTTTGAGTTATTTGAATAAATCCTAAACACAAAACTTCCATTACATCTGCTCCGTTTTTTAATTTGTTCGGTATAATACTTACTAATAATGGCCTATTTCCATTGTTTTTTAAGTAAACAAATGTAAAGTGTAAAAAAAAAACGGGAAAGCAAGCAACACCAGTGTACTATGTTTTTAATTGTCTAAGCTTATACTTATTTTTTATATTCTTATTTTTTAATTTAAATGTCTTCTTTTTTAAAATATTTATTTAACATAAATACTGCAAGATTGAAATAAAAACAATATTTTACAACTTGAGATATAGTAAGAATATATCAAGATAATAATGTAAATAATGTATAAGAAACTTTACCATGCATAAACAAATTTATTTTGCAATTTACTAAATTTCTAATGCAATTAAAATTTGAATGACGTATTTAAAATGCTAAGTGTGACTAATATTATTCTTATCATATGGTTTCTTTTTAACAAACCTTATTTGTTAACCTACTCTTATCTACTTAATTAAAAATAGGGAAAAGTTTAAATAGTTAGGGAGAGTAGATAAAATGAATTTTTATGATGTCATAAATTTATTTTTTGTTTATGCTTACACATTAAAAACGTTTGAAAATGTGTTTTTAATAATAACTTAATATATAATCTGGAATAGAAATTACAATGTTAATACATAAAACTATTGATATTTTAGAACTAATTTGCTAAATTAAAAAAAAAGAAGTAACTTAAAATATCTTAAAAAAGGTCCTAAAAAATAGTATATTTAGTGATTAAAAATTATATAAGAGAATGTAAAAGATAACTTCAAAAAGAATATAATACTCTGAAAATATGTCCCGTCTATGGGGTGTTCAAATTTGTAAAGATTGTGGGAGGAGGGAAATGGTCAATAGATTGAATGTGGGAATGGAGGCTGTTTTTTATATAATTTTTTATATTCAATTTTTTTCATAAGCACATTTTAATTTTATATTCTGTTCATTCGAAAGAACAGGAATACAAATGTTTCTACAAATTAATGTTTACAGTGACAATTCCACAAATTTTTGATGGTGGTGGTGAGATTTGAATTTTTTTTTTTTTGCATCACAGTTAAAAAAACTAGTTGTTACTATTGTTTAAAAGTGGTACTCAGTTTTAGGCATGATGATGACAGGGGAGGTGAAAGGGACAGTTTATCCTAGTGGCAGATGTCTGAGAGGCACTAAAGAAAAAGAAGATACCTAAAAAAAAAGATGCATTAATGATGATATGGAAGTATTTAAAAAAATATGGGCTTCAATTGGGGTTGTCCTTCCCAAGCAGCATGAAGGCTCTCGGCGCCCCTGACAATATAGAAAATTGTATTTTAAACAATTAACTAAAAGTTGTTGTTAAACATTGTTTGTATAATTCTCTTCATTTATGCATTCCTAAAAATCAACACCTTTTACAATCGAATAATTTTTTATAAGATTCCTTTTTGCACCTCTCAAAAGTGGAGTTGTAACTAGAGAAATAAATAGGAAAAATGATTTGTTAAAATTCAGTTTTAGTTAGAAATCTGACATTCAATCTATGAAAATGCTTGCAATAAAAAATTATGGAAACTCTTTTTGGACTTGAATGCCATCATCATATTTTAGAAATAGTTATTTTGAAAAATTTGGGGACTATTCAAATAATATGTGACAGTCTTATGGGGAGGGTTTTTGACAGTTTTAACAAATATTAAATGGGGAGGGTGGTTAGCTAGCTTTGATTTAAAATTAATACCACGGCACATACAAGATGTGGGGAGAGGGGGGGGGGAGGTTAACAAGTCACAAAATGGGGGAAGTCTAAAAAAGATCAAATATGTGTTGCTTATTATTTTAACAGCCTCTATTGACAAATATTTGCGATAGATATACAAATCCTAATTGCTTTCAATTTTATACAAATACCTATTTTTGAAGGATTGACCACTGATATTTACATTCAAGAGTGTTTGAACTACAAAACTATTGTAGGTCAAATGGGCATCAAAACACCATTCCACCTAATTATCAATATATTAACAGAGATAAAATGGGTAAGATGATTAAGTGTGAATATATTTAAGAATATAGCAAATGACCTAAAATAGAATAGTATTTAAGAATAAATGTATTAGAAACAGTGTGTAATAATAAAATTATACAATTATTAAAAGAAATAACTGCAGTTCACAATATCCACAAAACCAACTTGAAATAATACATTAAATTTTAATTAAATAAAAGTAATTAGTTAAAATGCTTGAATGAGGATTAAGTTACCATCTAATCATCATTGTATTAAAAGAGAGAAATAAAAATGCTGAAAACATTTTCAAGAATATTGAGCAATTGCACATTGTTATTGAAGAATTATACAATACATGATACCCTTATGCAATACATGATACAATTGAAGCCTTGATATCAATCTATTTGCAATAAATTGTTTTTTTCAAAACCTTTTTTAAAACAAAGCCAGCATCTCATTGGATAACTCACAAATAAAACATTCATAAGGATAGAGTTGAAATATATAAGGAACATTTATTCTTTTTCAGAAACAATTTATGAAGACTACCTGATGTTGTTACAGCGGATTAGTTGTAGTTTTATTTGAGATAAGTCAAGATTATTATTTGCAAGAACGCAAGAACAATAGTCATGGCAGGTTTGAAATAAAAACATATGTTGAAAAGGGGATACTGATATTGGTCAATAATATGTCAGATATTATTTAAAACCTGTAATATTTCACATCACAAATTCGAAGTTTATTATTTGTCAATTCAAAAAATATTTAAACAGATAACATGATAACGCTCCAACACTCCACTAAGAAAAGTTTTTGTAAAGCAACTGTTTAACACTGAAAGCTATTTTGCCATGATTAAGGAAGGTATTTTACTTAAGTAAAATACACATTGTTTATAATTAAATGAAAGTTTAACTAAATACAGCTTCTTTTACAAAAATGGCATTTAAACTAAAAAGGCCATGGTTTTTTTAGTTTAAATGCAATTTTTTTTTTTAAATCATAGTTTGTTTTTATCAAAAAAAAAAAACATGATTTTTTTTTTTAATAAAAAATACTTGTTTTTTTACTCAGACAACCCTTTATTACACCCTACTTTATTACACCCTACTTTATTACACCCTACTTGTCCTTTTTCTTAGATGATATTTAGTATTAAAATTATTTGTTTTGTTTTGTTTTTAAGAGTGTGCTTTTTTAAAATTTAGAATTCTTTATTCTAATTTGCTTAAATTCTAATTCGCAATATAAAATGTGTGATTAGTTAATAATAATTTATTAATAATTTGAACAAATATTGCATTCTTAAATTTAGTTTTTATTTTATTATTTTATACCATTATAATACTTTATACCATTATATATTATACCTATTGATATATTTTTTTATATTTAATATATTTTACTAATTGTTCTATATTTAATGTGTTTTGTACTTTCAGTGAAAAGCGATATGTTGCATTGAAGATTGTCAAAAGTGCTTCTCATTATACAGAAACAGCGATAGATGAAATGAAGCTGTTGAGAACAGTTAATTTTTTTTTTAAGTTTTTATTATTTGATCTTAACTAATATTTTTATTATAATTATAGGGCAAGCATAGTTGCAATATTTTTTAGCAATATAGGCTTATATATATATATATATATATATATATATATATATATATATATATATATATATATATATATATATATATATATATATATATATATATATATATATATATATATATATATATATATATATATATATAAAGCCTTTTTGAATCGATGCTAGAAATTTAAAAACTAGAAAGTTAGTAAAATCGAATAACCTACTCAGCTGACCTCAGTGGTCACTGTGGTTGTGATTGTGTTGTTTTGAAATTGTTAAAAACTTGTTTCTCTTATTGTTTTTCATCAGTGTCATGATGAGTCAAGTTAAGTTTTAGTGACTAACATCTACCATACCCTTTAGCTTTGTATAAAGCACAAAGTACAAAAAGGTTTTATAAACCTATTTAAGAAAATGGAGCTGGAAGCTGGAAATGAAGTTGACCTTAATCCAACTTTTTTTTTTGGATCAGCTTAAATAAGTAAGTGCTAAAAATTTTTTTAATGTTGAGAGAGATATGGATTACTTTGCGCAAATTGTTGAGAGAGTTATAGACTACTTAGTGCAAATTGTTGTGAGAGTTATAGACTGCTATGTGAAAAAAAATAAAAACATTTAGGTACATTTATTTAATAATTTTAAATATTAGATCTTTATATAAAGTGGCCCAGTTTAAGAAAATAATAGGTTTGAAGACTTGATAAAAAAATTTTTATTGAACATTTATTTTATGTTCAATATTTTGCCTGTCAACATCTTGTAGCTCTTGGACATCAAAGACCATTTTTTTTTTGAAACTTTACATCCTGCTTATAATTGAATCAGTGGTTTTGAAAAGGGCAAAAGTCTGCAATATATAACTTTTGATAAAATGAAAAAAACTGTTTTATTTAAAGTATAATTTGTTTTATAAAAGTATAAGTCGCTTACAGTTATTAAAAGTATGTCATAACATGGTATCATACACCATATGCTCACTATTTTAGTGAGTACATGGTGCATTGGATTAGTAACTTTTTTAAAACAAAACTGCTTCTATGGCAAACAATATGCACTTGTGTTCATAAGATTGAAACATAACTTTGTCTTATTTATAAATTTAAATAAATATAAGTTTAAAATCTTTTATACTTTAAACTTATTATTTTTAGAATTCTGTTGCAAACAGAATGAATGACATTGATTTTATTAATTTACTATTTAAGATGTTTATATAATTACAATATTATAAAACATATTGCTGTATTATTCAATATAAAAAATATTTTTATATTTTCATTTTATTCATTATATATTTTCATTTTTGCATAGTTTGTGTTGTTATTATTTTTCGTGTATTTTTATTGTTTATATGTTCCAGTAGCGCACTGGCTCCAAAAAGCCTATGCAGAATTTTTCGAGAAAGGTCTGTTTTTGAAAGATTTTTATGGACCCTCAAATCAAGCATACATGGTAACCATGTATGCTTGATTTGAGGGTCCATAAATATATAAAACGCTAATTTTTATAACAACATTTAACTGAAAGTAAACTAAGTAGTGCTATAATGCGTTGTGAAAAGATCGGCATTAATATTATTGCTGATATTATTGCTTTAAAATGTAAGGATAGATTTCAGAGGGAGGTCAAACGTTTTAGAGAATTTAGACAAATTAATGGATAATTTTGGAGATTGTAGAAATATTAATGGATAGTTTTTATTGTCTAATCTAACGGCAACTTTTTTTGTTTGTGGGACTATATCTTAATGTAATCAATTAGCACTATTTTTAATAATTAATTAGTAATCAATAAACTTTTTTGTTTTTACAAAAATAGGCTTAATAGAAAAACATTTTAGATAAGTAAATTTTTTTAATCATTTTTTTATCATTTTGAAAATATTTTGACCACATTATAAGATCAAAAAACAAACTTTTCAATTATATGGTTACATAACAATAAAGTAGTACGATAGTTAACAAAACAAGCAATAATAAAATTTAAAAATAGTTTTAATAGAAAAGTAATTAAGTATTTAAGTTGTAGTAAGATTTTTTTTTTAATACTTAAAAATCAGCTTATAATTAAATAATTTCAGTACTGCGAATTCCCATCTGATTGATTTACTCCTTAATGCTGTTTTTTTAACTTATTATAACTGTGAAAAGCGACTTATGTAATGTAATAAAAAACATTTTTTGTCATTATTTTTGAGGCTGACATTAGATAATATTTGCATTTTATTATGTAAAATAGTTATACACTAGCACTCAAATCAGATAATTGAAAAAATTAATTTGTGATAGCATTAATGAAGTGAATAAAAAATGATATGTTAATCATTTAAAGAAAATAATAAAATAACTTTTTTCTAAAAAGCCTCTATAAGATAAAAAGTTTCAGGCTCATGCAGGATTCCTGCATTTGGGCTAGCATGCCACTGATATTTCAGTAAAATTTATTTTTTCAAGTGTAGAAAATAATTTTTTTTTATAGGTTCATACTGCTTGTCCTGATCATGAAGGCTACCCACATGTTGTTCAACTTCTTGATGATTTTAAAATTAGTGGCATTCATGGAAATCGTATCTTTTGCGCAAAAATTTAAAAGCTATTAATTTTTTAGTTACACTGAAAACTGTTGAGGCATTTATAAGCAAAAAATGTTGATTGAAAAAGTAAATTGATTTTCAAAATTTGAATTGAAATTTGAAAACTATAAAAAAAATTTAGAATAATAAAAAAAGGAAATTTTATTTTGCTTTAATAAATGTTCTTTTTATCTAATCAGTACCTCATTGAACCCATACCCTGAGTTGATGTATGTACTGTAGATGTTTTTGTACGATATTATCAATGACATTTTATGCAAAAGTATGTATAGTAGTTTAGTTTAATATATTATGTTAATTCTTTAACAACATTAAGATGTTTGCATGGTTTTTGAAGTACTTGGACATAATTTACTTAAATATATTATAAAATCAAACTATCGAGGCATCTCAATTGCAATGTGTAAAACAATAATTAAACAAGTACGTTATTCTATACTTTATGTATATTTTATTAAGTAGATGTTTTATATATATATATATATATATATATATATATATATGTGTGTGTGTGTGTGTGTGTGTGTG